CTGCAGCAGCTGTGGCTGCTGGCTCTGCCCACCTCAGCTTCCCAGCATGGCGGTGTTACCTTTTCCACCAGCTCTGGGAGCTATCATGGGTCTATGCTTTTATCCAAGCAGCTTGTAGCCCAGAAACCTTTTTTTTTTTTTTGTTTTGTACTAGAAAAGGCTAAATCCACCATGCAGCTTAATGTGCCACTTGCAGAGGATTCATTCCCGCCATACTGCAGGTTGAGCATGCACACTAGGAACCCACAAGTAGCTCAAACCGGCAGTTGCCACTCATTAGAGAGAGACAGTTAGGAAGCTGTTTTTTTTTTTTTGTTTTTTTGTTTTTTTGGTTTTTTCGAGACAGGGTTTCTCTGTGTAGCTTTGCGCCTTTCCTGGAACTCACTTGGTAGTCCAGGCTGGCCTCGAACTCACAGAGATCCGCCTGGCTCTGCCTCCCGAGTGCTGGGATTAAAGGCATGCGCCACCACCGCCCGGCAGGAAGGTGTTTTTAGCTCCGTTTTAGAATCTTTTTTCTCAGTTTTTAGGTGGAAACTCTTGCCACCACGTTGGACGCCATTTGTAGCTTGAGTTTTCCTGCCTGGCCTACAGTCAGGATAAATCTCTCTCACCTGCCAGTCCCACAGCCACTCAGACCCGACCAAGTAAACACAGAGACTTATATTGGTTACAAACTGTGTGGCCGTGGCAGGCTTCTTGCTAACTGTTCTTATAGCTTAAATTAATCCATTTCTATAAATCTATACCTTGCCACGTGGCTCGTGGCTTACCGGCATCTTCACATGCTGTTTGTCATCGTGGCAGCTGGTAGTGTCTCTCTGACTCAGCCTTCCACTTCCCAGCTTTATTCTCCTCCTTGTCCCGCCTACACTTCCTGCCTAGCCAATGGCCAATCAGTGTTTTATTTATTGACTAATTAGCAACACATTTGCCATACAGAACATCCCACAGCAATTTCAATTTGTGTTTATCTCTAAACTGAAGCATGCTTTAGGATTAAGTGTTAATAAACCTTAAATAGACTAATTATATTGTCAGATAAGGAGAACTATCTTCAAAGATGCTTTGGTCTAAATTCGGGGTTTTAAAAAGCAAGATCTGGCAAAACACCTTCCTCAAGTGTGCAAAGGCCCCAGCACTCAAGCAGGCCCAACCCAGAACAAAAGCATGTCGTTGTGTGTACAGTAGCTAAAACACATGAGGATTTTTACTGCTTAGGAAAAGGTAACAGTTTAGGACTGTGGGTAATATAATATTGATGTGTACACCAGAATCTGGTGGTTTCTTCTGTAATGGGGGAGGTAAGAGACAACGTAAATATACCATAAGGTCATGTGTGATGGGGCTGTAAGGAGGCAAATGTAGGAGATAACTTCCAGTCACACACTGGATAGTGTTTACAGAGGGACACCAATGACATCTCATTGAGAAATAGGTAGAGGGACGATACTTTGACGGACCGTGCACTGTGGCTGAGGAGCAGACTTTGTATTCGGGTTGTGCAGAGATGCACCTACTGAGGGGTCCTGGTACATGCTGTGGCAGGCAGGTAGGAGGCTGAATGGCTTCGCTATGGAGAACAGAGAAACCCAAGACGAGCAGATGCAGAAACAGGCTGAGTGAGAGACGGCTCTCTTACTTCAAAATTGAGAGGGAAAAGCAGATTAGCAAGACTGGAGAACCTTGAATCCTGGGCTAAAGCTTCCCAGCTCCAGGCAGTGGTCACACAGGGTGTTAGATGCTTTGGGAGAATAGTCATTCAATCGGTATTAATGGCCACTTAGGAAACAGGATGAACTCAGGTCACAGGCAAGAAAACGAGATTTCTGCTCACATGGAGCTTATGTTCAGTGGGACAAAGATGAGGGCAGATAATAATAGTTCCCTTGTCTGGAAAAATCAAAGTTAGGGGTAAGGAGAAAAGAAAAGGTAGGGTAAGTCTGCAGTAGTTGACCTGGGTAAAATGGGGGGTCTCCTTACTGTGGGGAAGTGTTCCTGGGAGAGGTGGAGGCTTTGAGTGCAAAATGAGCAAGCACTTCCTGGTGGGATAAAGCAGTCAGGTAGGCTAGGGAATGGCCTGCAGTGCACCAGCCAAGGAATAGAGCATTTGAGTTCTGTGTGTCATGGTAGAGGGAGTTCTGTAGGTAGGATGGAGGTAACGGGAATGTCCTGCCATTTTAGATTCCTGCGGCAGCAGTTAGGCAGGAATAGGTAGGCTGTCGCAGTCCTCCACATGAGGAAAGGCTGTGGCCTAGGCAGGCCTAGAGCAGCAGTGATGGGTGATGAGGAGTGGTGGGTTTATAAATGTTTTAAAGGATTTGTTGGATAAGCTAGGTGGGGGCTGTAAGCACAGAAGTGAGGATTGTGTGATAGACTTTCCTGAATCAGTACTTCGGCTCGCAGTGCCCCCTCCCTTTCAGCAGGTGCACTGTGCGTAGGACACTTTGGTGCTGGTGCTGGGTACCCTAGTGGCTTCAGCCAACCATCCCTGTGGAGGACCCAGCAAGCAAATGCATCAGCTCTTGGTGACTTCTGGGGTTTAGAATGAACAAGTACTGAAGTGTGTCATCACAGACTGGGAGAGCCTGGAGGAGAGGAAGGCAGCACAAGCCAAGCTCCACTTTGGACACAAGGATGAGGTGTCTGTTGACTACCCTGGAGGTACTGGCCAGTCAGTGGGTGGACAGAGGACTCGGGCCTGTCTCCAATTTTGAATGTGAAATGTCAGCTGGGTAGTCGGGTGGAGTCAACAGTTAGAAATTAGGAATAATCTATAATAAATAAATAATAGAGTTAGGACCTTTGATCTTAAAGGTCTAGTTTGGGAAGTCATTCTGACTAGAAGAATGTGAACCCACCTGAGGGACGCTGTGCTAAAAACAAGGACAGTGACGGCCTTCGGAGTACGCCGAGCCATGGAGAGTGGACAGAGCAATCAAGAGGAAGGTGTTCGGGGTGCTGCAGTGTCTTGGGTTTGGCTCGGGAAAGCAGGGGAGCTTGGAGAGTACTGGTAACAGAATGTGGAGGTAGTTCTCAGGGAAGTGAAAACACGTATTCAGAAAATACTTCCTAAAAGGCGAAAACTAGAGGGTCAGATTGAATGGAGGGCTTTTTGTGTCTGTTATGGCAGACAAGGGGACCAGTGAAGGAAGGAAATGAGATGCTAGAAGCAAAGGCCCTGGCAGCAGGGTAGAAGACTGCCCACATGAACGGGTGAAGAAATAACCCAGTGGTGACAGCACTGCCCTGTGAGGTGGGGACTGAAGGAAGAGGAGCTGGCGTTTGAAGAGTGTGAGGAGCCGTGAAAAGGAGTTTCGTGTGGTCAGCGAAGTTGTAATCAGCATCAGCTATTTTAGGGTCATCAGTGGGGTTCTTGAACCCTGACCTTTGCCTGCAGACGGTATAAAAGAAACTAATGAGGAAAAAGAAACTGAGCAGAGGCAGACGTGGGGACCAGCCTCCTGTGGGGACCAGCCTCCTGTGGCCCGACAGCACAGGGAAGCTGGGGTTGAAACTGGTCCTGGGCTGGAGTGATGGCTCCTCCCTGAAGAGCACTGCTTGGCCCTGTGGAAGACCCGTGGTTCGCAGCACCTGTGGGTGACTCAACATGGTTTCGAACTCGTTCCAGTGAGTCGCATGCCCTCTTCTGGACATGTCAGGCACTGCATTCATGAGTGGTGACGCCTACCTAACTCAGCAGAGCCATCGAAGTTAGCAAGAGACTAAGGGGACTTGTTTTTAGAAATCCAACAACTGCACCTGGAGGAGTGGTGTTTACATATGCTTTCAGAATCTTCATGGCGGAGTCCCTTCCCCCACTGGCTCTGGAGCAGCAGTGACATTGGAGACTGGCGGGAACAGTGACTGGTGGCAGATGGGAGCTTGTGGGCTGAAGGAATAGGCATGGAGGACTTCTGAGGTGACAGAAGCAAGCAGCAGTCTTAGGGATGTGTCACTGGTAGCTGGACAGGCTCCATGCTCCAGCACTCCACAGAGTCCCGTGTGCCCACGAGCCTCCAACAAGGGAACTTAATAGCCAACCATGGGGCCTTTATTTTCATGGAGAATTTTTTTGGGTTGGGTTCTAGGACATGCTTTAAATGCAAGTCAGAGAAGCCTAACAATGTTCAGCAGTCAGCTTTAAAGTTCACAGGCTGTGGAAGGGAGCCATCGAGTGGAGGCAGCGTCAGGCTTCATATCCGGAAGGAAGCAGTTCCAGGGTTGTGACTTTGTTCCTGGAGAGCTGGGCTACATTATGTCTCACACCACTGTGTCTACCACCAAATCCCATTCAGTGAAGTCATCAGGATGAGTGCTGATGCTACAGGGTGTGACTGGCAGTGTATGATTAGTAGTGTCTGGTTCTTAATAAACAGGGATAGGTAGTCTGGATGAAAGCAGGGCAAAACTGCAGGTCATAGAGTTAGTAGCCTTCTCCGTTGAGCTGTAAAACCAAGCAGAAACTGTCAAAAGTAGATGCACCCTGCCTTGGAGCACTCTTAGCAGGGACTTACCCTTTAGGCGGTGTCTTATGTTCTGAGCATGCCCTGGTTTACATCAGTCATCTGGGCAATAACCGTGACTCTCCAGTGAAGACTAGCTTTGTTCTTAAGTTTACCGGGACACACACTAACTTCTGTCTCAGATTCGCAAAGAAGTCGGTAACTAGTGGGGACAGTAATGCTGCCAGGGATGAGACAGCTACGTAGCCTGAGCTGCTTGTGGTATGTGATACGCCTTTTACCCATCTACAGACTAATTCACAGTAGTGAGACATGCCAGGTGAGGCTTTTAAAGAATTCTCAGTCCAGCTTCCAACCTTGTCAGTATTCTAGTCTTCTCCGCATGTATCTTATTACTTAGTTCTCTACCAGTCCTGGTGAAAGAAAAGTCTGCGTGTGTTCTTTAGATGTGTACCCAAGATTCAAAGCACGTGGAACTATGTAGCAGCGGCAGTGTTTGCCTCCTCCTGCAAATGTCTGTCTTTTCTTTGTTCACAGGTAAAGTCGGTAATAAACCTTCTGTTTGCGGCATATACTGGAGATGTGTCTGCCCTCCGGAGGTATGCTGCCTGGGTGGATGTGCTATGGCTTTGGGTGTTTGAAGGTGCATCTCTCTGCTCAAGCACCTGTCTTAAGATTGAGGTCCCACTCACTGCTAGTAAAAGTCACCAGACAAGTTATAAACTACCCCACTTCCGGTTAGACTGCCCCCCCCCCCCCCCCCCCCCCCCCGCCAGTGTCCTGGACCTGCTTCTCATCTTTCTATAAAAGCCCAGATCTCTGTGGTAACTAGTCCACTAACTGGCTAGTGGTTCACTATAACGGATCTCTGGTGAGGTAGGAGGCAGGGTGTTTGGTGTTGTGCATGTTACCAGGATGAGAAAGGCCATGAACCACTGAATACCGAGTGAGTTCCCTTTCAGGGTTGCAGTTGGCCTCTAAAATGGACATGGCTACGTTGATTTCCATGCTGTTTTAAAGTTTGATTAGTACATGTAACTCCAGGCAATGTAGGTTAAAGAATGAGAGTCCTACTGAAAACGTAGCTTTACTATAGGCATTTTTGCCTCTTTTTAAAAAAATTTATTTATTATGTATGCAGAGGGCACCAGATCGAATTATAGATGTTTGTGAGCCACCATGTGGTTGCTGGGAATTGAACTCAGGACCTCTGGAAGAGCAGCCAGTGCTCTTAACCTCTGACCCATCTCTCCAGCCTGCATTTTTGCCTCTTTAATACTATTGGAGTTCAAATAATAATGTAATGAAGCTTAGTTCTGGGGGAGACGGCTAAGGTTTACCTTCAAAGCAGCAAAGCCAAGGAGGAGAGATCACATGGAATTTACCCAACTTTGTACGGGGTGAAGCTGGTAGAGCATGGAACCCCAACGAGAGGCCTAGACTGAGCTGATGAAGTAAATGTTACCACTGGATTAAATTGACCTTATAGTGAATAGCTGTTTATGGATTTTCAGATTTGCTTTGTCAGCCATGGACATGGAACAGAGGGACTATGACTCCAGAACAGCACTCCATGTAGCTGCTGCAGAGGGTAATACATGAACCACTTATTTACAGTTTTTACAGATTTAGAGTCTACTCAAGTCTAAAATCTTCTTTTGTGTGTTGGGGAATATAGGTCATGTTGAAGTTGTTAAGTTTTTGCTGGAAGCCTGCAAAGTAAACCCTTTCCCCAAGGACAGGTGAGTATTACATTACCTTCCAACATAATTGATAACACAATTTGAATACCCAGAATTATGGTATTGAGCGATGGTTACATGTGAATCCACCAAGGGGCTTTTACATTTGTGGTGACACAAAACCTTGATTTCTGTGTGACATCAAACTCTGTATCTAAGAGTAATATCTTATTCGGAAATTTCAGGTTGGACTATAAGCCCAAGTGAAGAAGACACTTCTTTGTATTTGAAAAGATAAAACGGGAATTCTGTTCTCCCAAGACTGACTACACAGGGTAGACAACCCAGGAGCACGGGAAAGTGTGTAAAAACAGTTCGTCTTGAGTGTGTTGGGACTGATTGGTGCTCCTGGACTTGGTGGTTAGTTTTAGAAGGCTTTGTGGGAGCTGAGTTTTCAGTGGTCCATTGGAGGAAAGGACATTTGAAGGCACTGGACGGGGAGGGCATTCTGCCTGCAGTGGAAAGGACTACCTGGAACCCTCCGCTCCTCTGAGCTCCTCCTGGCCTACATGGCCACTTCCCAGCCTGGGGCCGAAGGCAGTGCTGAGCATGCACCACTGCGCCCACTCCCGGGGCGTCCCCTCCAAGTGGAACGGATGAGCCCTCGGGCTTAGAATGCAAGAGGACCGACCACACTTGGTGCTGTTTGACCAGTAAAGCTCGGAGTGAAGCCTGAGAGTGGCACAAAGTTTGGAGCAGGTTGACTACCACCCAGGGGCGGTCAGATTGCTAAGCCTCTGTTTTAGGGGACTAAATCTTCTCGGTTCAACTCACAAAAAGTGAGAAGTCACAGCGTTGGTACCTGAGCTCTGCTAGCAGTTTTGCGAGGTGGTGGTGTGTTGGCTATCTCTCCATTCCAATGGTTATTAAAAAGAGTGACTGAAGGAAGTTATGTTGGCAGTCCTCCCATCTTCCCAGTGTAGTGCTCGCCATAGTTCTCTCCAGAGTAAGAGACTGAAAAGTGTCGCCCCGTGTTTATAACTCAACTCAAACACTACTTAATACATGCTGGAAATATTTACTGTGTGAATTCTTCCACTCCAAATTTGCCTCTAAGAATGTGGAAATACAGCTAGCTGTCCATCTTATAGGCAAAGGTAGCTAAATAACTTGGTAACTGTGTATCCAGAAATGAAGCCTAGACCCAGGAGTATTTTCCCCTATCAGATAGAGTCAGTATCACCTAATCTGTAAAATAGCAAGAGTGAAACAGTGTACTTGTTACCAGTGGACTTTTCATTATGAAATGAAAGCTGTGAAGATGACTTGGCAGGTCTCCCCCCAAAATTAACACAAATATTTGGTCACATTAGAGCCAATGACCTAATGAAAGCCATACAGAAGGGTTCAGCTGTATTTTGAGAAACATAAAGAGACATGTAAAATGTTACTTACCTGCTTTTAAACATTAAGAACAGGCCACTAGGAACATTTAAAATGCTGAATTAAGCACTTTTTGTTGTTGTTTTATGTTGTGACCTGTTAAGAAGGTGAAAGGTTCAGGATAGATAACAGAATGATGGAAAGAAGCAAAAGCAGGGAGATGGGAGAGGAACCGGAGCCAGCAGACGGAGCTGAGCGAGTGGGCTCGTGAGCTGTAAAGGAGCCAGGAGCCAAGGAACATGCCTGGTGTTTGCTGGGCGTGGACTTTTGCAGACCGCTCAAATGACTCATTGCTGTGGCAACTCTTTGCTTGTCCTTGAACCTCCCATCTCCCCCTCACAGTTCTGGTCAGGCAGTGGGCCATGGAGTCTGCAGCTTCTTACCCTTGCCGGGTACGATAAAAGGGTCACTTTCTCTGGGCAGATGCTGCTTATCTAACATGTATTTAATGTCATGAGGTTATTAGAAACCTGGAAGACTTGTAGAGTTTAGTGGGACTTGAATTCACAGGAACATAAATTTTCTGTGAAAGGTTAGGATGATGCATGTTACTACCTGATTTTTAAATATCTGCAACACTAGACTTGGCTCCCAAAGGCCCTCGTTTAGCACTTGGCTGTGGAGACAGGATCTTTTCATAGAACTCATGCTGTTGTCCTCATTATCAGATGCTCCTCAGACCCATTTCTGAACTCTTAAGTCCTTTTGTGTGTCTCTGCTGTTCTCACTGGAAATACTCCTAATGTGGCTGACCTTGAATAGCCATGGACCCTGGACCTAGAGCCTGGGGATGCTGGGCGACCATCTTAGTTCAGTAGTTACGGGTAATGACGCTGTCTGTGCTGTGCTGCAGGTGGAATAACACTCCCATGGATGAAGCGCTGCACTTTGGACACCATGATGTTTTTAAAATCCTCCAGGAATACCAAGTCCAGTATACACCTCAAGGGGATTCTGACAACGGAAAGGAGAATCAAACTGTCCACAAGAACCTTGATGGGTTGTTATAATGGTCTGAAACCCCAAGACTTCAACTACTTACCTATTTAATTGTGGAACATGATTATGAAGAACATGTATATTTCTATCTGGTAGTGATGTGTATTTTACATTGTCATTTCAGTGTTACTGGAGTTTTCTTCATTGTGCGCACAGGACAAATCTGATTTCTTTGGGAAAAAAATAGAAATAAAACAACCTCCCTTCATAATGTGAGCACTAGTTACCTCGTGCGTTGTACAATTTGATGTAAAAGAATAGTTACCAATGCTAGCTGACCTGTGTGCTCTTCATGATTTGTGTGCTTTGTAAATTTTCAGTCCTGGGTGGTGATATGCTCATACGCATTTATGAGTCTCTCCACAGGAGGTCGATGCTGTCATTAGACAAAAACAGTGTGATTTTCAAGACTTCCAATATAGGTTTAGTTCGAGTGTTTGAGCAACTGTATGCACTTCCATGGTTGAGTGTTTAAAATGTCTCCTCACTTCACAGTGTGGCTCCTTAAATATTGAAATAGTTACTAACTGTTCATAGGACTTGCCAATTCTGATTAGATTTTTATCAGGGAATCTGTTAAGATATGTTTGGTGACCAAAAACTTATGTGTGAATATAGTTCTAGTACTTTAAAACCTTTCCTCTCTCTGTAGCCCTCAGGCCAGCCTCTCTGTGGTGTTTCCTTAGCTGGGAAGTGAGTGCTGGCAGGCTCTGCAGTTTTCACGGTTTCTCAGCCAGTCATCATGCCTCACATTCCAGCATCAGAGAAGAGCTTGGCCATTTATAGAAGATGAACCAAAATTAAGATGTCTAAATTAGCTGTCAGTCTCAAGAATGAAGACAGAGCTACTGCAGATTCCTAAGTTCTTTTTCAGCTTCTACAATAAAGAAAAGTTCAGAGATGCTTTCAGTTACCAAAGTTACAACGATACATTTAGGAACAGCTACCGACAACATTTACTTTTAAACCCACCCCCCCCACCCCCCGTCAAAAGTCTGCGTTAGCTAGCACTCCTTTCTGGAGGGCCCCGGGCTTCCTCTGTTCCTAACCGTCCATGGACTGGATCATTCATTATAAATTTAGACTCATCATTTCTTTGTTTTGGAAAAGTAATTTATGATTAACTTAGGAAACAGGTAAAAGGGACCTGAGAAAAGAACACAATTTTCTAGGAATTGTACCTCCAAGAGATGAGGGGTATGTTGGTGAGGACTTCTGAAAATAAGCACATGTGTGCATACACATACACACACAAATGCACTTCTTGGAAACTGCTTGTGGAATAAGCAAAATTCTCAGCTGCACAAATACCAGTGGCTACCACATTACTACAGTCTCTCCTTTGACTCTCACTATCGACACAGGTTACATCCGAGTTTTATGCCGCCTGACGGCACATTACTCACTCCAGTAGCCTTCGGCTGCTTCAATCCTGTTTTCAGCCATCCCCTCCCGCTCTCTGGCAAGCACCTCCCTTGATGAGACTGTGGCTAGTGTCCCTCCACTGAGCCAGGCCCCACCACCACGTTTCTAAGTTCAGAGACTCGGGGAGGATGGTGGGTAGGCATCCAGCCCTGCCACCGTGTTCCTGCTTCCACAGGCCTCAAGACAGGTGGTACCTGGAACGTTCCACATAGGGGCATCAACTCCAGAGTTAAGGAGTGAACACGTTTTAATTGGAATCAACTGAGATAACACTGTTCCAAAAGCAGCTGGCATTGTGTGGTTCAACACGTGACTTAAATATTGCCAGTGACTTCGAGGCTTCTCTGAATACTATTCTGTATATTGTTTGAAGACAAAAGTTGTCACCTTCTCTAAGATCAGTGCTGTTTTGTAAAGTCTTTGTGGCTTGGTTCCTTACGCTCTTTTTCCCCCATGCTGTTATGACTGTATGCCAGGTCTTGCTCTGGCTGTTTGCTATTGGCTGATGATAATGAGAACACTTTGTTTCAATGCTTGAATGAGCTGTTACTGCTCCCATCAGTAAACTCCAAAGATCTCTTTTGTTTTGGCTTTACAATCTTGTGTAATTTTTCGGTATCATGGAAACATGACATGGTCATGTTGGTTTGAAGCTCTGTTTACGCTGTTTCTGCCCTCTCTGTTGTAGCACCCATGTCTGCTGAGACACTACACCCCACCGCTGCCCACACTGCGCTTTAGCTGTACAGCTGGATTCGCTGTCGATCCTGCTGTCTGTCAGGGACTAGATGAATTTAGGTCCCTCCTGGGGAGTCCAAAGCTATGAATGTATTTACTTCCAACATTTCCCAAAATGAAATCTTAAAACTATACATTGTAAGTATTCTGAAATTGGAAAATATTTATTTTAAATGAGATCAGGTAGTGTTGCTTTTTACAGCATAATAAATACATGTATTGAAAACAAGCTGTGAGAAATGAATTTTCTTAAAATAACTAAGCTTTTCCCTGCACTGCTTAGTTATGAGTGTGTAGCCGTTTTACATCCAGCCTGCTATGAGCCAGGCAGCACACAGAACCACGTGGGATGTTTGGACCACAGGACCAAGATGAGCATTGTGAGGACTCGGCTGTGGTGTTCATGGTGGGCAGGCCAGGTCAGATCTCCAGAAGCTCCACTGTGTTCATACAGTTAGTGTGCTCACGATACCCTGCTGATCATGCCATTGCAAGTATCCTTGGATAAGAGCATGATTCCATGGAGCCTTGAAATCTACCTGGAGAGCTGATCCAGTACTGCCACACCAGGATCTGAGTTGGACTAGCAGGGGCTCCCCTGAGTTCTTCACATGTGGGAGTGGCTTTCGGGTCCAATGCCAGAACGCCTTGGTCCTCTTGGGTTTAAAGTTAGCGTCTGGTTTTCTGACCATAGAGAAGGTATGTGAACACCACACCAATCCCACTTTCATTTTATCCAAATTCTGTGCCAGAAACCACACTGCTTGGTTATAGGAGCTGTGGTGTTGGGCCATCTCTGTCACTGATAATTTAGAACTCGAAATGACACGTGGAATTCTCTGATCTAACCCACTCTTTTATTGATGAAGCTGGGACCCAAGAGTGGCCCATGATATGGAACTCTTAATCCAATATTCCTTCCCTGAACCCTAACACGCAGTTACAGGTAAGGTACATATCTTCACTTACATTAGCTAACAGTTACTAGTTAAAGTCTCTCGGGTGAGTTTTGGGGCCAAGCATGACAGTGTTAAGTCTTGCAACCTCAGTCAACTCCTACTGCACATATGTTTATCTGCAGATGGAAGCTTGGTAGCAGTGCAGAGCCCACAGATAACCCCAAGAGTGAAAAGTTGTATTTGTTAATATAATGAGCATTCTATTTTTATGGCACTTTGTTAGGAGTTTAGGTTAATTTTGTTAATCCCTATAGTAACATGAGTAAGTTCATAAATCATGGATGTTCAAGGAAGCAACCCATGGACCTACTAGGTTGCTCTCACATTTTTTATAAATGGGAAATTATCTAGGTATGAAAGGCTAGAGGCTGTATGTGTTTGGGGGTAGAAGGATCTAGACTTAGTAACAGTTAAGCAGTTGTTTTAAGGGAGGTGGCAGACGCTAACACCACGGGCTGGAAGGCGCTATAAGGTCTGCTCAGAGGGCTCAGTTCTATTTCTGGAGCTTGACCTGCCTGGGCCTTATGGGGCCAGCTGTGCCTCTTGCTGCCTTTTCCCGTGATCAGCAGATCTGCTATGAAGCTAGACAGTCACAACACCAAAACACCATGACTTCATTTATGTGCACGGCATGGGAAAGGCCTCAATTGAGCGTCACAACATTATAAAATACAAAACTCATCTGTCTGTGATGATAGATATGTGACAGCTCTACCGTTTGGGTAGCTTTACTTTGTGTACACAGTATAATTTTAATAAATTATAATTTTTTTCTACAATAAATCACATTGTCCCTTTAAAGTTAGAGTATACAATACACAGCCAGAGTTGGTTTCCCAGAACTTGAGAGCTGAATCTCACTGATTATCACTGAGCAGTCAAGGCTTTCAAACAATACTGAGTAGCCTCAGCTTCCTGCAATTGGTTTAAATGTTATTTCTTGGAAACTATATACATTTTCCTCTAACATTTATATTATCTGTAGCTTTCACCAGTTTAAAAAAATTAGATTATGTGTATAAATGTTTTGCCTTTATGTACACAACATGAATGCCTGGTGCCCGTGGAGGTCAGAAGAAAGTATCAGATCCCCTGGAACTGGAGTTACAAATGCCCGTGAGCCACCACATAGGTGCTGGGAACTGTACCCAGTTCTACTGCAAGAGCAACGAGTGTCCTAATCCACGAGTCATTGGCTATTTGCGCTTCACAAAGTCTCTATTAAACGTGAATGGATAGAGTGATTACTGAGCATATGGCCCAGTATCTGAGAACATCTTACGTTTATGACAGCAGGTCATTTGTTTTACTAGTATCCTCCAAGATTCTGGAGTAATGCCTGGTCCAAGGCAGATACTCAACATACTTGATGAAGAAATGAATCAATCTTAAACACAGATGCCTTCAGGTAAATCATACCCTCAAGATGAGGAGTAGCCTTCCAGCTCCAAAAGTAAAACAATTTTCAACTTTCCAGCTTAGTCTGGCATCTTCCCTAGGGCAGTCGGGTGTCATGGGTCTGCTCTGTTTGCTGACACATGCCTTCACATGCCACGTTAGTTTTCAGGCAGCCAACAGATTCCATTTATGTAATGCCACCTCAGAAAGTGCCTAAATAAAATCAGTTTATCCCAAGTGGGACATATATGCTCCATTCTTAGAAAGTACCACCCTAGACATACTCAAACACAAACACCTTCAAGCTGGGACGTGTTTGGTGACATCTTAAAACATCAATGACTCAAGAATGTAAATGCATTGTCTTCCACTCACTTAGATTCCTCTCATGTCCCTGCCCCCTCTTTTTTTCAGGAGTTATGATCTCATGTAGCCTAGCCTGGCCTTGAACTTGCTATGTAGTCAAGAATGACTTTAAACTCCTGATCCTTGTGCTTCTGCCTCAGAAGTGGCCTCACCACAGTGCCTGCCCTAACGTGCCATAGTTACTATGACGACCAGGACAGTGAGCAAGGGCAACACTTAGAAAACACTGTTATTAATCTGATTTTAAAATAGGCCTGACACATAAATGAGATACATATTAAACCAACTCACAATACTAGACATTTTAAATACCTTTATATTAAATACTAATAGGAGACTAGCATCATTTTAACATTTCTTAAAGTCTCGTTCAACAGAATGAAACCATTAACAACTGATAGACAACGACGTAGGCAACAGTTATACCTCAGCAATTTAGAAACAGTATCTTTTAAATGTTTTGTTTCTTGATCATTGTAAGAGTCTGTGAGAGCCCAGCTAATCCCACTCGGTGAGCAGAAAGAGGGAGGCCTCTGTTTCCGTCCCAGGAAAGGGCTGTGCATATGCTTCATGCAGCACACACTTGCACTGGGGTCTGAAGTGGACTTATCTCCAGCTGAGTGAAGCAAAAGATTACGGGACAACACAGCCGTGGTGACGGTGGAGGACAGCTACAGCTCTGGGGGGAGACAGCGTCTGTGACAGGCTGCCCAGGAGAACCCCGCCAACCAACGCAACACCTGAGCCACTGGACTGGGCTGGTACCGCTAAAGAAAGTGAAAAACCGGCACATGCCATAAAACATGGTCCCTCAGAAAGGTGTCTGACAAAACAGGACAGACCATGGAACCATATGTGAATGTAATGTCGGAAAAACACATTTATCGGTGAAAAATAGTTTTCAGTGCCTTTCTATGGGATGTGTTTTTAAATTATTGGATACTCATATTTGGCTAATGATTCAAGTCAGTTACTACTTTTTCCAACTTTACAGCTAATTAAGACAACCAGCTAAAAACAATAAAGACAGCCCATTTAAGAATATGAATTAAACTGATAGGTTTATCTCTATCTGTAATTTCAACTTAAAAAAATAATTTGCCTTAAGAAAGCTGGCTCCCTTAGTGGATGTGCAAAGACAGTTTTATTCAACCGATGACCGGAGTGACAGCAGAAACCACTTAGCTTGGTGGAGTATATATTAGGCAGAAGCTACTTGTGAATTTGGAAAATGTTCTTTCTTCTATGGGTGTTTAGTTTCATTTAGCCATAACCAACAACAAAGCTAATTCCCTGAAGAGAATCGTGTCTTTAGTTTTACATGGCCAACACAGAAGACATAAGAACACAACTGTTTCCTCCCACTCAGATGAAGGATGTCCACTATAGTTTGATATATCACTGCGTGTAAAGTTGGCTTTGGACTGTGCCATAGGTAAACTTCCAGCCATAAAGCAGAGTGGACATGCCAGTATCTTCAGGACAGAAATATCCTGTATCAAGAAGGTTCCCCATAACCATGTATCTGTCCAGTGATGTGTAGCAGTTGAGCACTGACTATGCAGCCTTTACTAGATGTTATTATATTCCTCACCTTTCCCAAAACACTCGCATTCTAGTCCTGATGCCTTGGGCGGATCTCTGGTCTTTGGTTCACAAAATCTACTTTTCCTAAGTGGCTTTCCGTTTCACCTTCAATAAGATGCACGAAGTCCTTCAGAGTAACAGCTTTCTAATTAGAGAAATATCCACTTGCTATCCGCAGGGTGCAACAGACGCGTTGTTCTTCCTTGCATTTCCCTAGAAATACAGCATGTGAAGGAAGAGTAGCAGGAGGTAATCACAGATGGGAAGGAAAACGTCTCCAAAGAGAGAAATTCGTGTTTATACTGCGCTCATCTGCAAAAAGACAAAATGCAGTTAGGTTCATTACACGGGTCCCGTGACATGCGATTCATGTATGTGACACCACTGCCCTTGGAGCAGGAGGATGCTCCCTACAGCACATGACCACCGTGGAACCAGAAGGGCCAGCATGTCCCAGCCTCCCTGGACTATCAGGGCTGCTTACATCACCTAAACGGGTGGGTTATTGCTCTCTGGCCTGCTGGATTAGTTTTGTGACTTAACCCAGACAGACTCTATAAAGCTTTCTGCTGTTAGGCGGGCCTGAGGACAGGATAATGGTAAACCGGCTCATTCAAAGTGAATGTGAGGAAACGCTGAGCCCAGTGCCAGAGAGAGAGGGGGGGGGGATCAGAGGAAGTGATGACTGGGTATGCAAAATAAACAAAGCCTGCATTCCGGATGTGGGCCAGAGAAGTACCTCAGCTCCCCACCCTCGCCTGCCCAGCTGCCCTGGATGCAGGGGCTGTGTCAGTAAACGGTCCGTCGGAGAACACTGGCTCGCACTGACTGACTTCCATGCTGGTACAGTTCCAGATGTCTCCAGGACGGCTCTGTCCCGACTGCTCCTGAGACATTGCTGACACCGCCATTGGAGGGC